AGTTCCTTGACTGGTTATTGCAATGGCTGCCCATTTGCTGCCTGCATTTTGCAGTTTTTGCCCACGTATTGGAACGATTGCCCGTTTGTTGCTTACTTATTGTAACAATTGCCCTTTTGCTGTCTGAGTATTGGAACGATTGCCCATTTGTTGCACTTGTAGCACCCTACTTATAGGGGTGCTAAAATATTTCTATAGTCTATGTTCAGTTCAACTGTGACAGAACAATCTGTGAAGCTGTGTCTGCCTGTGGGTGGGTGTGTTACCACACAGGGCAGAACAGCCAATAAGGATTGCTTTGGGCCTTTATGTCTCTCAGCCAATCACTGTAGTACAGTAGCAGTGATGCATGCTGGGAGAGGAGATAAATGCTGAGTGTGGCTGATGCAACAGTCTCTTCCCCTCCCCCAGGGCCCTCCTGGCCTGGGGGCAGGATGCCTGCTGCTGAAGAGATAGAATGGACTAGGCCTGAGCTGGGGCCTAGGCCTGGATACTGGGGCCTGAGCATGGAGGCCCAGTGGTCAGCCACTCATGTCTGAAGTTGAGTCTGAACAAGACCCTTGACAGTACTGCTTGCCAGAAGTTCTCCACATAGATTGCCTGTATGGCTTAAAGGTCCAAGTCTGTGGTGGCAGCAGTTACTTTGCTCTGTTTCAAGTACAAGGAGTCTACCTTCATGCTGGATGTGCCTGACCCTCTCCCTCTCTCCCTGGAGTTACAGCAATACAAGAGAATCATCTTGGAGCTATTGTCTGGACTTCAATCTGTCGGTAACCACTGGAAGTGGTAAGTGCTATTGGGGCAGCCATGTGTTTTTAATAATCCCTAGACAGGCTATGGAAGACCCGATCATTCAGCGGCTCCTTCGGGGGGTGAGCGCTACACACTCATATTGTAATAATTGCCCCATGTTTGTGCATATTTTAAACACTGTTCATTGGATGCCTGCATATTGTTATCATTGCTTGCTTGTTGCCCGTGTATTGTCATTAGGGATGCACCGATACCGATACTAGTATAGAGGCTCAAATGCTCCGATACCTACCCCCGAGGTGGATTTCCTCCAGCAGTGCCACGAGGGAACGTGGAGCTGGCTTCCTGGCCAATCAGGAAGCCAGGTGGCAGGTAATGACTCACCGCCAGGCTTCCTGATTAGCCGTAAAGCCGGCTTCATGCTTGTTTGGCCGGCTTGATGCCAGCTTCCCGGCCAATACGCAACGAACCGGCCAAACAGCATGAAGCTGGCTTCACGGGCAATCAAGAAGCCAGGTGGCGGGCAATGACAGGCAACCCATCTTCCTGATTGGCCGGAAAGCCTGCTCCATGCTAGCATAAGTACCGGTATCGGCGAGTACCAAAAGATGAAATAATGTCACTCGTACTCGATACAGAGAAAACCGCTATGAGTGCATTCCAAATTGTCATGACTGCGTAGTTGTTTCCCATATAATGTAATGCTTGCCTGTCTGGTGCCCACACATTGCACTGACTTCCTGTTTGCTGCCCATGCGTTGCAACTATTGCCCTTTTGTTTGCTTGCACACTCTCACAATTGTGTTGGCTGTGTAATGCAGAGATTGCACCATCTTTGTTCAGGCATCATCCAGGGTCACCATCTACTTCCTGGACTGAGATGCCGGCTCAGACATGGCTGGGTTCACAAATGTCTGGCACTGATCAGCCCACGTTGAAGCCCCCCACCTTGTGACCTGCTAAAAAGTTAAATTTTGATCACTGGGGGGAGGAGAGACTGAGGAAATGCTTCTTCCTGCCTTTAGCTGACTGATCACTGGGGGAGGGGGAGACTGAGGAAATGCTTCGTCCTGCCTGCAGCAGAGTGATCACTGGGAGAGGTGAGACTGAGGAAATGCTTCCTCCTGCCTTTAGCTGACTGATCACTGGGGGAGGGGGAGACTGAGGAAATGCTTCCTCCTGCCTGCAGCAGACTGATGACCAGGGGCGGACTGGGCCGGGGGGCAGGGTGGCAATTGCCCCCCGGGCCTCTCTGATGCCATCGCGAACGGCCGCTGCCACCTGCACCCGGCCAGCCGCCCGCCCTCCGTATGGTATTGCTGGGATTTGTAGTCCTCTATAGCTGATGGTAGTCATTATTGCTGGGATTTATAGTCCGCTATTGCTGATGGTATTCTGCATTGCGCTGTATAATGTATTGCTGGGAATTGTAGTTCTCTAAAGCCAATGCCATTCTGCAATGCTGTACAATGTATTTCTGAGTTAGTGGCAGAACTACGAGGGTCGCAGCACTCATGCACGCGCACAGCCCTGACGTGGCATCCCTCCACTACCAGTGCGCTTTACATTTCCTAAACCGATAAATACATTCACACTACAGTTACATGGATGGCAAAAGTGGCAGACGGGCGGGGAGAAGGCGGGGGAAGAGGCAGAGCGGGAGGGGGGTCAAGTTGCCGCACCATGGGCCTCTGGGTTGTATTTGCCCCCTGGGCTAAAAGTTGCCAGTCAGCCCCTGCTGATGACATAATCTCAGCCTAGGCTAACTCACTGGCTGGAGCTCAAGGTTGGCTTTATAATGATAAGAGGTGGACATGTTCTGAGAAATGGATCCTGTTGCTGTGTATTGTGACATGTTAGGAATGTATTCAGACTTGTAAAGTTATAAAACATGTTGACCATCAGCCCTATGAAATGTTCCCGTCTCCGCAGCACATTCCTTCCCCCGGATTTATCCCCCGCCGATATCTGGAATTACATCACTTCACTTCTCGCTTATCATTTCATCTCCTCATCTGTTTCCTGTCCGTACCTGGATAGAATCCTACAGTGACTGTTGGAGATTCTGTACAGAACGTCTTCTACAGCACTGTCCACCCCGGAATTCCCCCCGTGCTGCTGTAAATCTCATGGACATAATCCCTCATCACTGGATCGCTTCACGTATTTCCTAATAATTCCTCTCCCCTGTAATATGTTATCAGTTCCCCTCAGTGGCGTCACAAGGGGGGCGCGGGGGGTGTGGCCCGCACCCGGGTGACACCATTGGAGGGGTGACACCAAAATGACTCACAGTCATTTTGGTGTCACCCCCCTCTGAAAAGTCGGGCGCTCGGTCATGGACCGAACGCCCGACAGTATCAGGAGAGAGGAGGGGACCCGGCGGCGTACCTTATCCCGCCGGGTGACTGTCCCCTCCTCTCTCTGCCGGCGTCCATCACCAAGATGGCCGCCGGCAGGTATCAGAATGCTGCCGCGCGTGCGCGATGACGTCTCGGCTGGGTGACACTCGGTTACCGCTCCGGGTGTCACCCAGCCTCGGGACGCCCCTGGTTCCCCTGTAATGTCATCCTGGTAACTCATCTATGAAACCCACCCTACCACTATGACTGTAGACACCTCCCTGGGGAATCATGTGTGGAAGTAGGATCGGTTGATCTACACAATGTGTCCTTCATAAATTCTCCGTACCAGAATCAGGGACGTCCCAAGGCCGGGTGTCACCGGGTGCACATGCGCGATGACGTCATCGCGCATGTGCGGCAATCTTACTGATACCTGCCGGCGGCCATCTTGGTGATTTAACGAATTCTGCTGTTTTGCTGATACTCGCTCCATGGCTCTGAGCGCCAACAATCATCCCACGTTCAAAGGCTGTTACATCGCGTTGTTTCCCCGTATCTTCAGAAACAAATCACTTCTACTGTCGTGGTAACCAACCCGCTTCCCTATTTATAATGGTCTGGCCCTCTAGCAACTTCAGCGCCAAATTATAGCTCATTAGCCTACAAAGGTCAGGTGGTCATAATAATCTGGCCACTCTGTGTATATATATAAATATATATACCATTTCCAATGTCTTCTTTTAAATCTAGTGTCTTTCTTCTTTAATAATGTCCATCCCTTCCTCCCGGCATAATACTTCCTGGGTAAGTTAGTCTAAGACCAATTCATAGAGTAACAACAATCGTCTGCCTCTGTTTACATTTCTCTCCCAGCACAAGCAATGTGAAATCTGGTACGCCCCACAAATCTTTGAATATGTTTTATTTTGTAATGTTACGTTCTAAAATAGGCAGTAGGTAGTCATTATGGTCGACGGAGATGACGGTAACCTAAAAATAAGAGACTTTGCAGTCTTGCTTCCAAAAGGAGAACTGTGATCATAATGTAGCGATAACTCCCCGCAGGGAGCCGCTGTTTGCCCGGTCCACATCTAGTCGGTCCAGGGGTTGATTTCCATCTGTGCCCATTAGCACTAACCACCCATAAATTGATGTCCACTTCAGTAATATGATGCTAATTGAACATTTTATTGAACATCTTCTATTGGAGAGGGGGTATGGGGGTTCTAGGTGTCTAGGGGTAATCATCAGAAGCTCCAGACTCACCGGATCTTGTGAAAGTAGACATGCAGCTCCACAATCCAGGAAAGAAACACTAACCATGCTCTGAAGTCCACATAGATCAAGGGCACATCAATAACCTGCACTGGTCCTAGTTCTTTTGCCTCTCTCCATGGCCTCCTCCATGTTGAAGGCCTCAGGGAAATATCTTTCCTCCCTGCAGCCACTGCCCAACCCCAGGCCTCGGCCTAGCCTGGGGGGCAGGCTGAACAGGACCTAGCCCTAATCCATGGCTGGTCCAAGTCGAGAGAGAGAGAGAGAGAGCACACATGGCAGCTCCCACCAATATATGTACACTCTTTCAGCAGACACCACTGACTGAGTGAAGCCCAGCAATTGGCTGCTGTACTGTACACATATTACAGTGTCTCCCATTGGCTGTCCCCCAATATGACAGAGTCTCACTCCGCCCAGGGGGGTACAGACAAGGTTAGGCACCTGGGATTAACCATGTAATTGCTACTACAAATCCAGCCAGGCTGTCTACAGCCCTCGCTATCACTAAATGCATAGTAGGCACATCACAAAGGTGATGGGCGCTACAATAAAAAAAGTAAGGACCGCCCCTTCAAGAAGAGAAGAGGAACGGCCTGTGACATGATCAGACTGCCCAGAAGAGCCTTGTAAAAAAAGGTATAAATATATGGATTGGGAGGGCAGGGGATGTGGGTGGGATCATTGAAGCAGGAGCTCCACTTTATAAAATGTAGCCACATCTAAAGGGATCCTGGTGGGGGGCTCAACTAGCCATTAGAACTCTCCAGACACCCAATCAACATAATTTCCTTCTTAGTGTTTAGTTTCTAGTCCCTTGTTTATATATATATATATATATATATATTGTGGCAATGTAAGCCAATGCCACGGCGTAGTATAGCAACATTGGCAACCAGGACTCTCAGCCAAAGGGGCTGAGATGATCCAGAATGTGACACATGTTATAAGGAAGAGCCTGGCTTTTCAGGTCCTTCCAGGTTTTCCTAAATGTAGCTGGGATCTGGAGCTCTGGAGATCTCTTAGAGCTCTGGGTGGGATGAGATCTCCAGTCCTGGGGCCAGGTGTTGCCAATGACCAGCTTGGGCTGATCAGGTGGCTGAGAGCAGCCCAGTGCTCAGTGGAGGGTTGGAGTTGTGTGTGTGCAGGAGGCACACGGACACACGCAGACTCGAGTGCGTGCTGGACACGTGGGACAGCCAGGGAAGGCTGGGAGAGGTCAGGAAGGTCGGCGACCCTAGGACCTGTGGTACACACTGCTAAGAGAGCAGATTGAGGGCTCACGAGGGGTGAGCAGCGTGAGTGTCTTGGAGCTGAGGAAAGCTACAGAGCGAAGCTAAAAAGACCGTCTTTCATGTTGCGGCTAGAAACCATTTTGTTCACAGGGGAGGTCTACCCTGTGGATGGAAAGATACTTTTTTGTGTTTTGTCCTAAATAAACTGCATTTTATTTGCACCTCCTGTCTACAGTGGAGTGTCCTTGTTACAATATACACTGAGTGGCCAGATTATTATGACCACCTGACGTTTGTAGGCAAATTAGCTATAATTAGTTAGAATTTGGCGCTGAAGTTGCTAGAGGGCCGGACCATTATAAATAGGGAAGCAGGTTGTTTACCACGACAGTAGAAGTGATTTGTTTCTGAAGATTCGGGGAAACAACGCGATGTAACAGCCTTTGAACGTGGGATGATTGTTGGCGCTCGGAGCCATGGAGCGAGTATCAGCAAAACAGCAGAATTCGTTACATGTTCAAGAGGAGCTCATTGTTAAAGTGTTTAAAGACCGGACTGTCAGCCGAAAATCTGGGTCTGAATGTGCGAATTGTGGCCGTCAGCGACTAGTCAATGTTAGGGCAGAACGGGGGAGGGGCAAGACTGGTACAAGACAACAGAAGGGCAACAGTGCCGTGTCAGATTCCTCGCATCACCTTTCACCATCTCGTGGAGTCACGAGGCGGCCCAACGAAGTACTGATGGGGTGGTCATAATAATCCGGTCACTCAGTGTATATATAATATTATTATTTTAATGACAGAGGCCGTCCAATCCCCTTTAGTGTAGCTGTCCAGCGGCACACAAAAGGTGATAGCCAATTAGTCACAAGTAATTGTTTTTAATAAATGGGTTTCACCGCCAGTTTGTCTTGTGAGACGATGACCCGGGTCACCCAGCCGGTTGGCACTTAGTTGTTTTTCACAGAAATATTTGCACAAATACAACTGAGCGATATTGGCCGGAGCACACGGGAAGGCTGCCACTGATCTCTGCTGGAAATGTAACCTGTTACACAAAATGAAGTCACAAATAAATAATTCTGATATAGACATATGTTCCCCTCCCAGCCATTGGGGCCCTTTCCCTCTACGGTCGGTGCTCTCTACTCACGGCTAGAGGACCTCTGTTTTGCGGGTTCCAGTTCTTCCAAATGTCTTCTCCTGTGCTTCTCACTTCTCAATCATGCTCTGCTTCCCTGGGCAGCGTCCCTTCTCCAACCATCAGAACTTCTCTTGTGTTGTTCTCTGGAATTCTCTTCCTCTCTGATCATCTTGTTTCCTTCTACAGATAGAAAGGAGACTGAAGCGAAGTGCTCAGCATGCTGTCCCTTGACCAGCTTTACATTGTGAGCTCCAATGAGTAAGAGGCCTATACATCCCATTCCCCCGTTAGCTCTGTTGACCACAAACCTCCTGTTCCATATGAGATCTAATGACCTGATCTGATCTGATGACCTGATCTAATGAGATCTAATAGGATCTAATGACCAGTATTCTAATTTCTCCTGTCCTTTATTTAATGATGAATCTTATGAGCAGGAACATCACAACTCAGGTCTCTTCTTAGATTGTAATGTTTAAAGAGGAAGAACCTTGTAGCTCCTGTTTCCTATTATACCATTTAGCTCTAAAAAGAAGGATCCTCCTGTTCCCTATTGGATGATAAACTCTAATGAGCAAGGTCCTCATATCCTATTATACCTTTTTAGATTGTAATTTCCCAGAGCAGGGACTTGATATGTCTTGTTCCTTGTTATAGTCATAGTTTTATTGACCAAAGCCCTCAAACCTTTTTTTCCTGTTTGATTATGTGATCTCTGACCAGGACCCCCATATTGTATATCACCTATTAAATTGTAAAATCTGATGAGCAATACCGTCATACTTCCTGTCAACCATTAGATTTTAAGCTCTACTGAGTAGGACCATCATACCTCAGGTTCCCTATTATATCATAAGCTCTGACCAGGACCCTGATAGCTCAAATTCCCTATTAGTTCATAAGCTCTGACCAGGATCCTCATACCTCTGGTTCCCTATTAGATTATAAACTTTGACCAGGATCCTCATACCTCCAGTTCCCTATTAGATCATAAGCTCTGACCAGGATCCTCATACCTCCAGTTCCCTATTAGATTATAAGCTCTGACCAGGATCCTCATACCTCTGGTTCCCTATTAGATCATAAGCTCTGACCAGGATCCTCATACCTCCAGTTCCCTATTAGATCATAAGCACTGACCAGGATCCTCATACCTCCGGATGCCTATTAGTTCATAAGCTCTGACCAGGACCCTAAGGCTGGGTTCACACCTAGGCGTATCGAATATGCGCGTTTGTCGCGCGTTTTGTGACACACGTTTTTACTGCGATTCGCGGTAAAAAACGAGCGACAAACGCGCGTTTAGGAGGGCTACCTGGCTGTATCCCAATGGAAACGCGCAACAAAAACGCCACAAAGAAGCTCCTGTACTTCTTTGGGCGTAGGACGTTTTGTAGCGCGTTCATACGGCCTGAAATACGCCCAGGTGTGAACCATACCCATAGGAAATAATGGGATTTCAGTGTTTGAGCGTTTTGCAGAGCGTACGAACGCGCTACAAAACGCCCAGGTGTGAACCCGGCCTAATAGCTCTGGTTCCCTATTAGATCATAAGCTCTGACCAGAGTCACGCATTTGATGTCAGCCATGGTCTGTTTTGTCCTTTGTACCCCACGTCTGGCAGAATATCCTCTTGCTAATCACACACATACATGTAAACAATGTGTCCCGGCTATTAAATGGCAAAGTATATTGGATAATAGTTTCTTGTATTGGGCTGTCAGATAACACACCCAGACACAACACTTCCTTCAGCTGTGATAACATCAGCGGTCGAATCGAGTTTCAAATCTCTCGCTGTTGTGTAAGAGGCAAACATTTTACAAATGGCTGGTCACACCTGGAATTACCAGCCAGGCCCGGTAACAATAGGCCGGAAGATTAATGGTGACATCTGCATTTACTTCAGATCCCATTGTCTCAAATTAAGGTTCCTGCAATGTTTTTTTTTTTTAAAGTATTCAGAGTATTCTTAGCAGCTGGTATTATCAGATATCAGCCACACGGGGAGAGCGTTGTTTTGTAAGGAGTCAGATGACTGCTAGACTTGTGTTGCCAGAAGGAGCAGTAAAGCACAACCAATGCACAGTGCTGCAAATCAGGAAGTAGAGCCTGCATAGGAAATAGGCAAATATGGTTGTCCTCATATGCATGTGTAATGTTGTGGAAATTTTACTAGGATGTGTTTTTAGTATATTGCAATATTGTCATCACGTCTCCCTGTGTCTGGAGATAGTATGGCATTGTCCCCGCAGATAAGCACGCATTCATAGGAATCATAGTAACGTGATTGGGCATTGCTCACTGAGCAGTGCTGGATAAGGTTCGCTCCAGTGGTAATGGGAGATTGTGTTTGTGGGTCTGGAAAGATGGCGGCTAGGAAAAACATGCGGCTGTGCACACGGGGTCTTTGGGCTATGCACACCGCTTCTACTATGATACAGATATCCCTTTTCTTTTCTGTACATGTGCTTTGTTGACTGGCTATGATATGCTGATGTATTGAGGAAGTGATGTTGGTTGTTGACATCACTTCCTGGTTTCCTGTTTGAGACATCACTTCCTGTTTGAGACATCACTTCCTGTCTGACATCACTTCCTGTCGGACAGCTATAAAAATAAACATACCTGTGCTGAGGGCTCTAAGAACCGAACCACAGAACGAGCAGCATGAAAACATCACCGTGTCATGACTCTACAGGGGTATCTCCAGTCCTTGCACAAAAGAGCTTAGTACAACTGTGCTTTTAAGCACGGGGGGGAAATTCTTTGTGTTTGGCGGCATACTTTGGTGCACTTTAGTGCGGCATGGATTTGTGCGTTGAACCAAGCGAATTTCCATAACAGTAATTTTACATGGGAACAAGCTTTTCTAAGTGTGTGTCAAGCCAAAAACTTTTTCTAGTTTTGTGTACAGTGAGTAAAGATTAGAACTCCTGTTGGGTTCTTACTGTTATCCGGGGCTCCATTAGGCCTCATTTACAGCAGACACAGTGCGTTCCGGCCCAGATTCTGGATGGAACGCACTGCATCGCATTGAGGTCGGCCCACTATGTTGTGGGGCGGGAGGGGACGTGGCGGCCCTATGAAGTGAATGGCACTGTAGCCATGCTCTCTGGCTGCAATGCGATTCGCCGCACGGGAAGGCAAGGCACAAAATGCCTGCGGTTCGGTCCGAACAAAATAGCGCTTGCAGCATTTTGTTCGGACCGGATCACAGCCATTGATGTGTCTTGCATTTCTATGCGGCCAATCGCATTG